AAAAAAAAAAGGTGTTTTTTAAATAAAACCCCAGCCCTCTAAGTGTGGGAGGGGGAGATGGGGCTGAGAACTGCCCGGGTGGGCGCAGCTGGAGCCGGCACGTCTCTACCTCTGCCCACCGCCGTCCTGGAAAAGGAGAATAAAAAATTAGAATAATAAAAAAAAAAGAGAATAATAAAAAAAAAAATAAATTAAAAAAGAGATTAAAAGACAGATTTTGTTTTTCTCCCCCCCTGAGGCTGTTGGGGACCACCCACAGTTGGACATCCCCATCCTTTCGCTGCTGGGCTGCTCCCACACCCCATGTTGGATTTGTTTCACAAGGATTTTTAAGAGGAAAAGGAAAAGGAAAAAAGGAAAAGGCAAAGGAACACTGCCTCCTTCCTGGCTGAGGAGGCAGCCAAGGACAATATCGATTATTTTGGGATTCTTGCCTCGCTGGAGCAGCGCAGAGGACAGGAGTGCAATACGGAAAGTCCGGCGGCTCCAAGCAGAGGCAGCAGTGCTGTGCGCTAATGTGAATGTAAATAGTGTTTTGCAGAGGTCCAAAAAATGAATAATAATGATGATAGTGATAATAATAAGAGACTTTTGCCAAATAAAGGATGAGGAGAAGGTGAGGGGGCTGTGGCACTGTCCAGAGCGAGCCAGAGGCCTGGAATCAAGAGGAGCTGTAGTTTTTCCACATTTGCAAAACCCATCCTGTGTGTTTTCTGTAGGGGAGGAAGAGGAGGGAAGGGCTGGGGCTGGGTTGGTTGTGTTGCCAGTCACTCTGGGCCGGGCCAGGCCACTGCAGACCTTGGTACATGGGACACCCCAAGGTGATTTCACTGGCCCTGTGCTACAAGCACCGAGACCTGCTGGGGGCTTCTCTGTACCCCGAGACCTTGGTGCATCCTCTGGAAGGGTTATGTGCACTCCAAGAACTTGGTGTGTCACCTTGAATGAGTCCTGTGCACTTCGGGATCTTGGTGCATCCCCCTGGCAGGGTTCTATGCACCCCAAGATTTTGGTGCATCTCCTCCAGGGTCTTCTATGCACCCCAGGGTCTCAGTGTATCCCCAGGGGATTTCTGTGCACCCCAAGACCTTGGTGCATCCCCTTAGTAGGGTTTTGTGAACCCCAAGGTCTCGGTGCATCCCCCCAGGGAGATTCTCTGCACACCAGGACCTTGGTGCATCTCCCTAAAAGTTCTGTGCACTCCAAGGCTCTGTGCACCCCAAGGTCTTGGCATGACCCCTAGGGAGGCTTCTGTGCACCCAGAAACCTTGGTGCACCTCCTGGGTGGTTTCTGTGCACCCCAATACTGGGAGCTTTGCTGGCTGCCCCTCCAGTGACCACTTTATTTATGGTGTGACATATGTAATATTGTCTATTTTTCTTACGTTTCCTGAGAAGAGGTAATATA